CCGATCTAAGCGGTCTAGCCTTTGGCTGACCGTTTGGAAAGTATTGTTGAACCTCTCCAGATAGCTCATGACGGCTGGATCAAGCCGTGGGCTTGAAGGGATATCCCCCACGAGATTTTGCTGCACTTGGGGCACTTCGAAAAAAGTGTCCTCTTGTACCTAGGGGATCTCTTCCTCACCATGATTGGTTCACTCAGATTCGAATCGGCAAGGCATTTGCTGTTATGGGACCGATTAGTCAGAGATTCTCCTGATGAAGGACGAATACTAAATCAGGCCCTTCCTCTAGTGCCAAACCGTTGATGCGTGTTTTTGACACCAACTAAACGCGCGTGGGAAATGTTAAGCTGACTGAGAAGACACACGTGTATGGGGGTATTGAACCAAATAAAGATGGAGGACAATGTTTAAAGTGGTTCAGATGCTTAAGTAAGCGAATCCTACATCTACTGGTATTGTATTAATATATGAGATCAGGTCGCGTTCAGCGAGCTGACTTACAAGAGATTACAAGAGAGAGAGAGAGAGAGAGAGAGAGTATATATGCTATTCCAGAGAGAAATTAACTAATCCCACAAACGGGAGAGAAACCCTCTATTAATAGTGGGATGAGTTAAGGTAATGATTACTAAATCTGGGAGTGGGTCAGATTGTCGTGCAGATCCTTTCTTGCGTCCCGTTGCTCACCTGCTCAAGTGATTTACACGACGTGTGCAGGGATTGGACACGTGGATCGTCTCCAGCCTTTCACCAGTGCGCGAACCCACTGCACTGGCAGGAGTATGCCGCTCGCGTCAGCATGCGACGTGGCTGCGTCTGAATGGCTGCAGGACTTACCTAAGCTCTGATTGCTTATGCTGACAGGGCTCTGCGTCAATCCTACTTTTTCAGGCATAACACAATTGAATATAAATAACTGGCCTTCTCTTTTGCGCTTATCATCAACACACCAGTTACCCAAGGCACTTAAATCCCTTTCACTTGTGAATTGCCTCAAGCTAGAGTCAATAGTAGAGAGTTTTCATAATAACATGTCTCTCAAATCTACTAACATATTGGGATGTGAAAATCTTAAATCCATCCCCGATGGCCTTAGCATTCTTAGTTCTATTGATATACACTATCGCCCCAAATGATGGTCTTCCTGACACTGTTTTAACAGTAATTATTGTCGAATAAGAGAAGCTACAAGCTCTACCTACCCAAATGCTAGCCTCAAATCTCTTAAACACTCGGCCTTATGGGAATGTCCAAATATAACATTCTTTCCGGAACAACATATTCCCCCAATGTACCATCACTTTACGTTAGTGTTCCCAACTTTTACAACTTACTGGTTGAGTGAGGCTTCCACAAGCTCATTTCTCTTAGAAGACTCAGGATTGGAGGATCCCCGGATGCAGTGTCTTTTCCAAAGGAGGAGAAGGGAACGAAGCTGCCAATCTCTCTTATTGAATTGAAAATTCAAAGATTCCCGAAATTGAAATACTTAGGTCCCAAGGGGTTCCAAAATCTTACCTCTCTTGAAGAGTTGTGGATAGATGATTGCCCAAATGCCACATCCTTGCCTAATCTTCGGACCTTGCTTCTGCAGCTACATATTATCAAATGTCCTTTGTTGAAAAAACGGTGCAAAAGGGATGAACGATAAGAGTGGTCCAAGATTATCCTCATCCCTTGTGTGAAGATAGATCGAAAGTCCATCTATGATCTAAAGGAAGAAGAATGAAGTCCATTTGATATCAGGAACAATGGATAGGTCAATTACCTCACCTTATTAAGGTCTATTCAGGTGTGTCAAATTCTAGAATTCACAGTGTTAGCTTTTGTCAAGACGATTTAGATTTTTATACAACATAATTGAAATTAATAATTATGTGGCTTATGGAGGAAACAACTGAACAGTATGGACTCTGCCTCTGGTATGCAATATGCCAACATAGCAATGGCAGTGGTCAGCTTTACCATATGGTTTGTTAAGACAATTTGAATTCTTCGTCCTGATTTATAATACTCATATTGCATAGTCTACGGAATTTTTAAGTCAGGTAATTAGTAAACATTTGTTTTATGTATTGTAGTTTAGACTATCTTTCAGTTTTGTGAAAAGAGAAGGCTGATAACAAAGGTCACCACATTGCTCATAAATGTAATATAAATTCAATAATGTTTTGTTTATAACTGAGTTATACAATTGAGCATATAAACAGATAAAAATTACACAAAATTTATGTAAAATAAATACTCAATCTTTTGTTTTTTGTCAGTTTATATGATTCAGTTATAAGCATATTATTGTTCATATAAATTAACATAAGATTGATCTTCATTAATCTTGATTGATCTCGGTTGATCTGACTTCTACATTTTGTTGAAAGTTTCCACTATTGCTTTCTGCGATTTTGTACAGAGGCGTTGTTGACCTTTTCATACCCATTCATCATTCGGAACTATATCACCTACCAGATCCGATGAATAAAAGATGAAATGAGACATTATTATGTAAATTGGTAATTATCTTAAATATATTAACTATTTCTTTATTTTTTTATGTTGTGAAAAGTCGTCTCCATTTTTTGTATTATATTGTCCTTGAGTGGTGGCAGATTTATACTTATAGTTCTGTAACTTCCCTTTTTTATTCAATAAAGTAGCAGTTTAGATGCTACATTGGCGTCTAAAAGTTTATCCAAAACTAAAAACACAAGTATTACAAACAATCATGCAAAATTTTCAATATTCCAAGCAAAAGTCTCCTCTCAATTTTGTCCTCCAAATAAAATTTCTTGCATGTATTAACACATTTTAAAATCGTTTTTTTTTTTTTTTTTTTTATCTGTTTGTTTTCACCCCTGAAAACTTAGAAAAAGTGAATATTTTACACTCAGTTATATATTTGTTTGGTTTAACCACTTAAGACTGAAAATAGTCGTATTTCTTTGAAAAAAAAAAAAAAAATCTCTTAAATTAAGACTAAAGTTTTATTTATTTGTCTTAGATAACTTTTCCAAAAATATCTCTATTATAATTTTTAAATTCCAATCATATCCCATAAAACCTTAATCTCTATTAAACAAATTTTATTTACTTTCATTGTAATAAACATAGTGGATACAGTCAATTAAATAATAAAATTATTAATTTGCAAAATTAAAATATTTTTGTTATATTTTATCAAATTCATGATTTGTAATATAAATTATAAATATATATCATACTTAACATTTAAAGGATATTTATGTAAAAATACTAATTTTCATACATTTAAAATTTGTAAAAACAAACACTTAATACTTATAATCAGATATTCAAAATTATATACAAACATAATATTAATTTAGTTTTATTAATTCAGAATTATTCAGTATTCAGCATTAAGACTAGACAAATAATATTGTAAAGATTCAGTTAAAGAAGCAATAAATTGAGAAACCTTTAATTATACATGTAAAGAAAAAATTAATTATTATTGTTAACAGCATATTTTGAAATTGATCTAAGTATAAATTCTTTTCCAGAATTGTTTTTTATGAATCCAAGGGCTAGTAGATTGTTTCTAACCCAAGAAGTCAATAGATCAAATCAGAGAAAATTTGAATACTATTACTAAAAGATAAACATATTTTATACTAGATAATTTTGAATATTTAGGCATAAACTGAATTTTAGTCAGTAGTTTTAGTTGACTCTAATCTGATTTTGGTATTTCGTATTGTATTCCCTTCATTTTGCCTATAATTGAAGTGTGGTAATTTATGGAACACAACACTTGGTGTGCGGAAGCTAATTAACCAAGGATCTCAAACTTAAAACAATTATGTCATAATCCAAACTTATAAACAATTGCCAGTATAAAGGGGTAACAATATACATGGTTCGGTTAAATGACTTACCTCCACAGGCGATAATGATGGTTTACTATCTACATGAAGAATAGCATGAATTATAAAACACCCCCACACTCTTCACAATAGCCAAGTATACAAGCGGCACCCAATCTCAAGTCATACAAGAGCACAAACCCTAATCTCTCCACATATAACCTCCCAAGTCTCTCTGCACTTTGTCTCTCAGGATTCTGTAAAGATTTAGCTTAAACCATGAAACAAACCTTTGTATACAACTAAAGAAGCACAAAGACTATTTTGCCCTTAACGACTAATTAGCCAAATTTGAGCGAAATACATACAATTTTTTACTATCACATTATAAATTAAAAGAAAGTTCGAAGTGTACCACAATGTCTGTTTATGCCCTCTATTAGATCAGTTAATCAAAACTTCCTGATAATTAAGCACATCTTTTTTTTCCCAATTGGATTTTGTTTTATGGTTTCTTTAATATTCAGAGATATTCTAACCATGTGGAATTGTATCAAACAGGATAATTTATATTATTTGCATATACATATATATATGGTTTAACTGGGGTAACTTAATTTTTTTTAATATTTCTTATAAATTGTTTATCTTAGTATTTTGCTAACTGATAGAAGATAAAAAAGAAATTAATATTTTAACTCACGGTATCTTGACCCAATATCTATATATACTATATATAATTAAAACATAATAGATCCAACCACTTGAACGTTAATTTGTTTCAACCGAACACGTAATAAGAGCATAAAAATTATATAAATTATATCTTGAAATAACAAAGATATGCTATTATATTATATCATCATTTTTCGTCTGGAAATAAATTAAAATTATTGAATAGCATCATTTCTCTCTCTCCTTGTGTTAAGTTTTCGTTTCATCCATACCCACCATTTTTCACGTAAACAGCTTTTGAACTTTGAATATGTCCACTCTGTGAAACCTCAACAACAACAAAAAAAATCTTCCATGCCACAACGTTTGAAGGTCTCTCATGGATGCTTTCTATGGCCTAATTCTCAATCACGCAAACCAACATTCTTCTTCATGAATAGAATGGACGATGACAAAGCCTTTCTTTTGATGTTTTGATCTTCAAATAATTTTCTTTTTTACCAAATGCCAGTTCGAGATCCTCATTCTGGATATGCTTTCATATGGCTCGTCTCTTTCACTTTGTTTCTTTTTTTAGCCGCCGGGGGCGGCTGCCTCGTAATTTACATGATCCTCCCTGAATCCCAATCCTCATCGTGGCTCGCCATTACCGGTGTCACCCTCGTTTGCCTTCCTTGGCTATTCTGGTTTGTCACTTGCATGTATCGAATCATTTCGCGGGTACTCGGATTCAGGATGGTCGTAGGTTTTGGTTGCGACGGTGGCGGTGGCGGTGGCGGTAGTGGGGGCGGTAGCAGAGGCGGAGGGAGTCATAATCTTGCAAATTCTCATAGCACAAGATCAGGAGGGAATAATAATGACACCTCAATGTCAAATAATGGTTCTGCGCCTGTGCCGACAGAATATCCCTCCGTCGAGGTTAAATACGAAGGCGATGGCACTGAAAATAACAACGGCCGAGAAAGGAGGGATAATAAAGAAGGAAATAAACAAACTCCTTCATCGTCAAACAATTCAATCGCCTCTCGCGAGAGCGAAATCCCATTGACCTCCTCCGTTTCGTGATAATTAATCATTTTATAAAGAATTTCTTAGCTAGATGGATGTCAAGTTAATCTTCAGGTATGCATGGCATGGCATCGAATTGGGGTGAATGCATGTGATTTGAATTGGAGGAGAGATTTTATATGTTATAAATTTTGTTTAATTAATTTTCTTGTGGGTAGATACAGGGAACAATCTTCTTGATTATAGACAGAAATATAGTGATGATTTAATTGATTGCCTCAAATCTTGAAACTTTTACAAAAAAATCTAACATCATTTTTACGCTTTTCATATATGGGAAGACCTTTATGTTTGAGCCACAAGCACTGATCGATATCGAGGAATTAAAGGCTTTTGAAAGTTTGAATTACCAAATCTTGATTTTGTCCTTGAGTGGCTAGTGGTTTCCTTGTGTAATTGTAAAGTTAAGAGGATTATTTTTATTTTTATCAACATCATCTTTTCTCAAGCCATGGACTTGATTCTACTACAAACTTGTGTAGTGCTTTAGTGCCCCTTTCTTTCTGATTTTATGTTCATAACCTTGTCATTAGTACTTAATTTGTTTATTTATTGAAAATAATATATATACACAGAGTAATTTTGGCCATTGATTCTACGATTAAAGTTATTCTAGTACATGAAAATATGCACAAGCATGATAGAATCATAGAAATTTTTAGTAAAAGTTTCAAACTCCTTTGTTTTTTTGTTAGTTCTTTCTTTTTTAAATAATACAAGTTTCTCATCAAGTAATATCTATGTTTAATAAGTAAAAACATGTATCCCAACGCGTTGTATTAGGCGTCGTTTTGCGTCTCCATGGAAATAACACGATACCCTAGTCTGTCGGTTTAAGTTTTTCATTATGTTACGACTCATTGTTTGCGTCAAAAATAAAAAAACAAAACCCATAGTAGTTATGTTGTTTTGCGGAGGTGCGGTTGCATCGTAATACACTTAAGAAGCAACACCAAATCTGTCGGGACAATTAAGATATTGAGCGACGGAGAGTCACGTCGGTGCAAGTATGTAATCCAGTGAAAATCGTTTGTGTCGAAGTAGAGTCCGTCGGAAGATTATTGTTTTCTTGTGGTGATTGCTTTTGCTTCAATTGCAATTTAAGATATATTAAAGATATAAAGAGTATGAAGAGCTTCGTTTTATTTTAACAAAAAATAGTTTTCTCACATATATCCGTGCGAACTATGAACTAAAATAAGCATGGAAATGATAGCACCCAATTTTTAGTATCATTGACAAAATTTACTTAATCATACCGCAGAATTCATGATTTTCTTTGTTGGTTTTTTGGCCTAACTTCTCACCTAAAATGTCTTATTGAGTGGGAGTATTGCCTATTCTAATAAACTCATTGACTTGAGCGTGCTTAGTCGATATGGGATCTCCAACACTCTCCCTCACGATTAAGCATATATGGTCTACTTGCCTATGAATGGAGGTAGTTTGACAGCCATCGCTGGCCAATCACTCAGCTCAAATGGGGCTGACTTTGATATCACTTGTTGGTTTTTGGGCCTAACTCCTCACCCAAAAGGCCTTATTAAGTGGGAGGATTGTTCATTCTTATAAACTCATTGGCTTGAGCGTGCCTAGTTGATATGGGATCTCCAACATTCTGCTTATCTAAATAGCATTTATGGCTTTTGCTTCTTTACCCACGTATGGCACAAACAATATTTGGGTATATATATTTTGATAGAAAATTCGCACCAAACAAAATGATTTGATTGACCCTGACGAAATCGGAACGGATGTGTGTGTGATTAAATAAAAATCAATAATGACAGTATGAAAATGCGTTATGATGCAAAAGGCACAAAGAATTTTTAAAGTGGTTCGGCAAATTAGAACTTGAGCCTACGTCTACTATTATTTTATTGTTGTGGCTTACAATGTATATCAAATTATCAATTGTAAAGTAAAAAATTGCTAACCCCCTTCTCATAATTGGAGGCGGTATTTATACAAGTTTAAGATAAAGGAAAGAGAGAAATTATCGGGATTGCAATCAGATTCAAATTGCAACTCCGATATTCCCGTGATTAAGCACTAAGATCGTACTGTTATTGAAGTTGATCTTATCTTTTCCGAAATATCCACTATTTGAGCTTATCCCTGGTTTGTCGAACAATTGCCAGAATTGGTCACGACTATTGTTGGGTTGAGCTATCTCTCAACGAGCTTAAGCTAGGTCGAACTAGCGCTGAGTCAAATTGATTCTAGGTCGAACTATATCCTCACAAGCTTTTGACTTTTCCAAGCTTAATGGAAAAATCACACAGAACAATATATATCCTCTATGCTGCCTATATATATCTCTCGTTCAAAAATTCACCCTCAGGCTTAACATCAAAAGTTGAAAAATATGTGAAGTGTAGATGTAAAAAATCTACCGTCATGAAAATAAGGTCTGATCCCGTGAGGTTGAGGCCACTGACAATCCGTTAGACCTGCACACATCAAAGGGCAAGAGTGAAGCTTCCGGAAAATACCAGGGTGGTGTTTGCCGTAGGCACTCCAACGCTCAAGTTAGCAAGGCTGAAAGAGATTATTTGATAAGAATTAAGGAGATGAAGAATTACCAGGAGTCTTGTCGGAAGCTAAGATTACGGCGGAGACGTCGGGTTCTTGGAAGCAAGAACTTAGGAGCAAATAGATGGTTTTGAGTAGTGTAGATTGACTGTGGGAGATTGCCCCTTAATGAGAAAGCGAGCCTCTGTTTTTATAGTGAACCCAAGGGGTTGGAATCTTAGTAGGACATTGAGTCCTCTTTTGGGAGATAATCCCTATCATAAAAGAGATATGATTTCTTAACCTTATCAAATTAAGTTTAATAGTTTAAATAAGAGTTGGAATCTTAGTAGGACACTAAGTCCTATTTTGGGAGATAATCCCTATCATGAAAGAGATATAATCTCTTGACCTTATCAGATCAAGTTTAATAGTTTGAGTAAGATTTGAAATCTTAGTAGAAGAGGAAATAGAATGGGATTCCGGTTTCCTATTTATAGACTATTGCATGCTAATGGGCTGAAACCCAGTTTAGCTTAACTTATAGGATAGCCCAACTCATAGAGTGGGTAAGTCGCAAGGTGATTTTAAGCGTAGGCCCAATCGAGATTGGGTTGAGGCCTTGGGCCGTGACATATTTATTTCGTTATTGGGCCTCGTCGAGCCCAAGACGATTTTTGGCCCTAACATGAAGTACTCGTAAATCCCTATCCATGATACATTACTGTGTAAAGATATCAAAAATAGTAGGAAATACTCTCCGTACACTATCAATTGATAATTAAATCTTAACTCCAAAACAATATTTTTTACATAAAGAAAATTGAATTAAGGGTGAATTACCTATTTTTTTCTTATATGTATAAGTGAATTATCTGTGTTTTGCCCTTATATGAGTTAACAAATATTAGTATCAGGGGGCCGAAGATATCCTAGTAGTTTAAACTGCATAATCTTAAATACTAGACCCATCCCAAAGGGGTGAATACAATTATCTTTATATATAATATGTTTGTATTGGTTTGTGTTATAATTGATGTGATGCGCATGTGATATCATAAAGTACCTATTTACCTCTATACTGCTCAACTTAGCATAAAAGGATTCATCAAAGTGAAGAAGAAGGTAAGATTTATCCAATCCAATGATATAATATTAATTAGCTCTAATGAGAATTAAAATGCTCCAATGGGAATTTTGGTATATTTCTTAAATCTTTGGATGTAATTATTTCATGCAAGGTCAAAATCTACACTCGTAAGACTGATGTGAATAGAAATATTAAGGGAATGACCAAAATGCTAGTATTTCAATTGGGGTAATATTACGCTTATAAAGTCTTCATATAAAGATATATATACAAAGTGATGTAACAAAATATAAATGGTAGTGTATATATATACACTGGATGAGAATATATATATATATTGTTAAGACTATAATCTAAGTATAGATGAGAATAAACAACCAATTACATCAGAAAATGAACAATGGATTCAAAGCAGACTTCAACGAATATGAGTGACACAACGATATAAAATGGTTCTTTACTCAAGGCCTATATCCACTCTCCAAGGCAAAGAAGGATTTCATTCAATCACCAAGTTTAATTGATTATAGAGTATATATTAACCTCAATATGTAACAATCAAGAAAAATCACACTTGAAACCCTAGCCTCCCTTGTTTTTACCTCTGCCTTTTGTAAACCCAAGAGCAAGAATTTATACAATAAGAGATAGCCCCTTTAATCAGCTTACACCTGGATTTATATTTCCTTCCAGCCGTGTGATTATAATCATACTCGATCTTGTCATTCATTTGCATCACCATGAACCAAGAGATGAAAAAATGGAGAGTGTTCTTTGAGTTGAGCAAATGACACGAAGCAAAATAGAATAGAAGTGGTCTTCCCATTCAAAACAGTGTCACTTCTCATACTTGGGTTTCTTTGACTTTTCAAAGTCTGCTGATGTGGCAAAGCATGTGCCACATCACCACAATTCTCCACCTAGGCACTTGCTTTGACGACCCTCCTTTGCCTTGGAAATTTTATCTTCCTCACTCAACTTTTAGAAGGCTCATAGAAAGCCTGTGTTTGTCAGTAACAACTGGCTTTGTGAGCATATTTGTTGGATTATTAGAACCAGCTATCTTTGCAATCTTGATTTCTCCTTTTTCAATCAATTCCCTGATGAAGTGAAGACACACATCAATATGCTTAGTCCGTTCGTGAAAAACTTGGTTTTTACACAAGTGAATAGCATTCTGACTATCACTATGTATCACCACCATCCTTTGAACTATCCCCAGTTCACTCACTAAGCCTTTCAACCATATTGCTCTTTTGTATCTTCAATAATGGCCACATATTCTGATTCAATACAGGATAAAGTTACCATGTGTTGGAGCTTTGATTTCCAACTTACCAAATTTCCCCAAATTGAGAAAGCAAAACCAATTATGGACTTTCTTTTGTCAGCA